GAAAGAAAGAAAGAAAGAAAGAGGGAAGTGCATTCAAGAAACACCAACAACTAGAGGAAAATGCTGATAACATCAAACGTATTAAAATGTCTAGGTTGGGAGTAAAGCTCTTCGCATGTGGTGCTCGGGGCTCAATCTTCTGCACCGAAGACAGAGAGTGTTGTAATTTATTTAAAAACAAGGCGAAGAGAAGTCACATCATGCAACAAGGCTCACATAGGAGATTTTTTTGTTTGTTTGTTTGTTTTAGTTTGGTTTAAGTTTGGTTTTTTGAGACAGGGTTTCTCTGTGTAGCTTTGGAACCTGTCATTAAACTCGCTCTGTGGACCAGGCTGGCCTCGAACTCTCAGAAATCCACCTGCCTTTGCCTCCTGAGTGCTGAGATTAAAGGGGTGCACCACTACCACCACCTGGGAGGTGGGCAAGGCCCACCTTTTAAAGGAGAATGTATGGAATGTGCACAAGGGGTACCCTTAGTGGCTGCAGCTGAGGGCATATCCTGTCAGGACCCAAGGGCAGGCCAGTACAGATGCTTGAATACTAACAGAGAGAAACAGAGGGAGAGGGCCGTCTATGTATCCAAGAGAATCACAATTAGAATGAGAGCTTTCTTCCAGGATGGGAAGTGAGACTATAGCAACACTAGTGTCTACTGAGAGAACTCCCCCAAGAGGATAACAAGAGGCAGGAACAATGGCGAGCTGAAGCATTGCCTGAGAACCTCAGAACCCAGCTAACCTAAACAGTTGGCACAGAACAGGGTCACACTATTGTCATGATCAATTCAAAAATCAACAGCTACAGATTAAACCTGCAGCAGGTGTGACTACAGATTACCAACCCGATAGGAACAGTCAGCCAGCATTAGAGTGGATAACAGGTATCCATGCTCTCTATACCCTGCCACTTCTAGAAGACAGTTCTGAACTGTCTCCCTGGGATGAGGAAATGCAAACTAATGACCCAGAAATTCCATTCCTAGGTCAACAAATGCTCCAGAGAAATGCAAACTCATTCACACATGCCTGTCCTTCGCAGCACTGCTGACAACTGCCATAAGTCCCAAAGGTCAGACATAAGCCCAAAGCCCACTGTGAGTAGGATGGATAAATGAGCATAGTAGGTTCACACAAAGGAATCTCATCTAGCCTGGGAATGTGTGAACAGGAGCGGCGTGACACAGAAGTTCCACAGACAGGACATGGACAAAAGGATACTTTTGTCAGAAAGAGTATGTGCAGTGCAATTGTTAGTAAAATGTTCAAAAGCTGCCGCCAACATTGTAAAACTACAAAAGCACAAGGAAGTGATTGATGTTAAGGGGAATGGAAGGAGTAGAATTGGGAGGAAGGCAGATGCCTTAGGACTAGTGACCCAACTGCATGTATGTGGGTTACACGTTTCCTCATGTGTCAGATTTTACTCTACATGGTTTCCATGTCCTGAACATGCCTGTTCTGTAATAGCCCTTTGAGCCAGAAGCTGGGCTACCTCTCCAGTCCCCTACATCCCATCTTGATCTGGCAGGGGCCTGTTTGGGATCTGGAAGATGCATCCACACCTGGCCCTTGTTGGGTGAATGAATGACTGAGGATAGATGGAGGAAAAGGGGCTCTTTACTGTGGCTGTGAGAACTCCTGCCAATGCTGCTCTTGTGCCAAATCTTCAATGAGAATTGTCTTTCCACATGAGCCTCTGCTGCAACTCGACAAGAGGCTCTGGGTGGACTATCACAGCCTTTGCTGTACTGCTGTCCAGATGTGGGAGTAGCCCTCTGAATGTCAAGCCCAGGCTCTCTGTTACCTCACTGGGGAGACTCCCAGTATATCTGTGCATGCCTGTGGCAGGAAGCAGACTCTAACAGCCTCAGACCTCTTGGTAGTTGCTTTCCACTATCAGGGCTGACCCCTATGTGGCCACCTGCTGAACATCCCAGCCAGATGTCCATTACATTCCTGCTTAAGGACTTCTGCTATGCATGCGAGTCCCAGGACAGACCACACAGGCTAAAGGGAGACTGGCCAGGAACCTAAGCCCCACTGCACTTCAGCACTTAAAGGTCCTTAATTCTTGCTCCAAATGGTGAACCACCCTAGAAGTATGTTCTGTCAATGTTACATTATGTCTTCTCATTTACCCAGGAGCCTTTCTGTAGAGTCCTGTCTGTGTTAGAAAGAATCATGAGAAAGACTTTAATGACGCTTCAGTTTGTAATCATGCCCATCATCGTCTGAGAGCTGCTTTCACATCCCTGCTTTGTAGGTGACCTCAGAGCAGAGCTGGGAGGCAGACCCACCCATCTGTGAGTGAGATGTCACAGGGTGGTCAGTGCACTGGTGGAACAGCACTTCGATGCCTGGTGAGGGATCCCCTGTAGGGAAGGGGCTGCGGGTCATGGAGTGATACAATTGTTGGTGGCTAAGGGTTGCTTTTCTATACACTGGCCTTGGCAAATAAGCATGCCTAGCACAGGACTGATCTCATTTGTTACTTATTTTGTTACTTTGTTACATTACTTTGACACACAGGAATGGCCAGGAATGCTTGCCTAATACAGAGCAGTGAACTGTAAAGAAGCCTCAGAAAGGAGATCTTGGCACAGATGACCACAGTGCTTGCTGTGCAAGTCAGATGATGGTCTCTACTCAGAGCCTGGAATCCACCAATAATTACACAAAGTTATCCTCTGGCCCCTACAGGTGCAGCCTGGCACACAGAGGTCCACAATACACATCGCACACAAATAATAAATGATGAATAGAACTTTAAAACTGAAAGAAATGAAGATCTTGAGCTAGGATGTAGCTCAGTTGCTAGAGTGGATTGATTGACCAGCACATGTAAAGCCCTGGGTTCCATGCCCAGTACCACATAAAACCAAAGGTGGTGCATGCCTGTAATCCCAGAACTCCAGAAGTTCAAGATCATCCTCAGATGCACAGAGAGAGGTTTAGGCCAGTTCATGCTGGAGTTCCTATCAAAAAGCAAAACCAAAAACTAAACATAAAAATCAAAAAGAAAAAAAAAAGGTGTGAGGATTCAGGTAGGAGCAGGAGGCAGGGAGAGAGGCAGGAAGGGATGAGAGAGCCCATAGGGTATCCAGCCTCTAGCCTAGAGAAGATCTGCTGGGATAGGTTCAAATCCTGCCTGAGCTGGGAAAATGGTCTCACCTCCTCATCCTTAATTTCATCTGTGAATCTGTAAAACGGGGTGTGGGCAGGCTCTTACCAGATGTTTCTGAGCAGAGCTCCCCACGCTGCTTGCTCTTTGGGCTGTTTCAGCCCCACCTGTGCAAGAAGCAGGCTCCATCATTATACACACAGTATGACCTTCCTAGGGCCTCATAAAGTCACCCCTGTCATCTGAAAGGGGGCCTGCAGTGTCTATGTTAGTTACTGGTGTCATATGAGGCCCTTTCTTTGCTGAGCCCCTGCTGCTTGGGACAGGAAGGCAGCCCTGGTGGAGGACAAATTTCCCAAGGGAACAGTGGCAGGCCACTGCCCCCACCCACCCACCCTGAGCCCTGACAGTGGGGAGCAGCCAGAGCCAATGTAACTGCAGCTTTGGAAGTGAGACTCACACAGAAAAGACCTAAATAACTGTCTCCTCGGGGGAGGCTGGGAGCGGGGGAGGGCGAACTCTCACAGAAACGTCAACTTTTTTAAAAATATGTTTTCAGTAATTGCTGTTCTGTGTCAAGTTTCAGCCTGGTGGGAGTTTCCTGTCAGAATTACTAAGTAGGTGTTCCTAACAGACAAGATAATCACCTTTGTGTAGGGGTGAGATGCTGAGCACTGATCTGGATCCCTGTGCCCAGGTGAGGTGCCTCCTGGGTCTGCTAGAAAGGGCTGTGCAGGGCAGAGGAGGCAGGCTACACACCAAAAGTGGAGTGTGCAGGCCCACCCCAGTCCCTTCAGGACTGTCTTGCCTGTGTCCTGGGCATCCTAGGGGAGGAGGGATGTGTGTTCTGAGAGGCCTGGAGGGGCCTTCTCTCCCCACCTCACACAGCAACTCTCAGCAGCAGCAGAGTTTACCTGGGCGATCTTTCCCAAGCTAAGGTTTGTTTTTGTTACAGCATACAGGATCTCACTGGGTAGCCCTGGTTGGCCAGGAGCTCACTATATAGATCAGGCTGGCCTCAAGTTCACAGAAATCACCTCTGGCTGCCTCTGGAGTGCTGGTATTAAAGGCATGCACCACCATGCCCAGCATGACAAGTTGTTTTTGAGAAAAGGCAGCATACACTGTGACAAACTTGGAAAAAGAGAGAAATGTATCATTCATCCCAGCGTCTATCCATCTACCTACTGCCTACCCACCCAACCACCTACTGAATACCCAGCCTCTCATGGATCCATCTATGTATCTACTTACTATCATCTATTCCTCTCTCTATCCACCTACCTAACCCATCCATCCATCCATCCACCCACCCATTCACCCACCCATCCATCCACCCACCCATCCACCCATCCATCATCCATCCATCCATCCACCCATCCATCCATCCATCCATCCCATCTATCCATCCATCCACCATCCATCCACCCACCCATCCATCCATCCACCCATCCATCCATCCACCCATCCATCCATCCACCCATCCACCCATCCATCCATCCATCCATCCATCCACTCATCTTTCGACCAGCTCTCCATCTATACATTCGTTTATCTACTCATCCATCCACTCATCTATCCCTCATATTCCTTTTCTGAGCAGCAAGAAACAGCTAGAGAAACACAAACCCTACCCTCAGAGAACATACATGCTAGGAGAAGGAAGACACAGACAGAAGTCCCAGAGGAAGATGCATAAGGAACAACCATAGAGTCTACTGTGTGGTTGTGGGAGAGGAGTAGGTAGCTTGCAGTTCAAGACCATCAGAGGAGGTCAGATCAGGGTTTTAGAGGCATCATCCAGGTGAGACTTGAAATCAGGATCATAAATGTAGGAGTGCTGGAGAGAGTGAAACTGTCTTTTGTATTTTAAGTTTTTTTTTAATGGGTAATGCTTCATGAATTTGTGTGTCATTCTTACACAGAGACCATGCTAATCTTCTCTGTATTGTTCTAATTTTAGTGTATGTACTGCTGAAGCGAGCATTTTGGTTTTTTTTCATTGTTGTTATTGGTTTTGTTTTGATATTAGTTTCTTTGAGTCATAGTTTGACTCTATATCCCAAACTTGCCTGAAACTCACTTTTGTAGTCTGGGCTGCTCTCAAGCTCACAATCCTATCACTTCAGCCACCCAAGAGCTTGGGTTGCAAATGAGCACCTCTACCCCTGGCTTGTCTTTGAAAGATAAGATAGTACCCATTTCCAGTTATAACAGGGTCAAGGGAGGGCATAAACGTTGGTGACGTAGGAGACACTGCTCAAGGTCTGAGGAATGTGGGAATTACAGAGTACCACACGTCACATGTCATTCATTATAAAGGGGCCTATGACACCCATATGGAGTGGGATAATAAGGGGTCTGAGGTCTCACCCAACTGTGTGAGATAAGGGGTAACTTTGGGGACCTTTACTTAACCCACAGAGGGAATAAAATCATAGAAAGATTAGTCCCAGGGTCTGGAGTGACCAGTGGTGGGAAGCAGAGAAAGTCCTAGGTTTTGCCCATGGAGGAGGCCAGGTGAGGATGGTCTTAATCCAGGATGCTCTGGGGTCCGGGTGGAAGGATGGAGCTGGAGAGAGGTACTCAAGACCTGATCCCATATGTCTCAGGACTGGCATAGGATAGAGATGGTTCTAGTGCCTGTCTAGACACCTTTCTGCCTGCCAGAGTAACCACCCCCAGTTGCTCACAGCTGTCCCTCTTGGGATCTGCCTTGGCCAAATGGGAATAGTCTAATCCTTCCCCATAACCCAGAGGGGCAGTGGCATGAGATACCTATGGCCCTGGCCTTGAGGTGGGCTAACTCGGAGGTGGGTTAGAGTCTCCTGAGCTCCTGTGTGATAAGACTGAAGCCATGTGGGTCACAAGTTGGAAGATCTTTTTATTTGTAGGAATCTTCATTCTTTGCTCCTCCCTCCTCCCCTCTCTGTCTCTCTCTGTCTCTGTCTCTGTCTCTGTCTGTCTCTCTGTCTCTCTGTCTCTCTCTGTCTCTGTCTCTGTCTCTGTCTCTGTCTCTCTCTCTCTCTCTCTCTCTCTCTCTCTCTCTCTCTCTCTCACCCCCTTCTTCCCTCTCCCTCTCTTTCTCTTCAGGGAGAAATGGGTGGTGGCTATTTGGCTTTCCAGTAAGGAGCTGGAGGCTAACTTGGGCATTCTTTCTTAAGATTTAAAAACACAGACTAATCGCAATGGCAGTGTTTGGTCTGTTTGTGCCTTGAATCAACTCTATCAGTTCACCTTCCTTCTTACCCCTCCCTCAATACTTTCCATATTGAGACTGGTACTTGTCTGTCTCTGTCTGATTTATTTCCCTAGTTTGGTGGAGCTTTTATGTCTGAAATGTATTTATTAACCTTATCTCATGAAGTTCTTTCATATTTCATTTTTCTTCTAAATGTGAAGCTACTGAGCTACTTGTCTTTATTTTTCTTTTATTTTAAAGACAGAGTCTCATGTTGTTCAGGCTATCCTCAAACTCACTCAGGATATCCTTGATTTTGTGATCCTCTTGTCTCCGCTTCCCAAGTACTGGGATTATAGCTTCTGCATGCACGGTGCATGCCAGGCAAGCACTTTAACAACTGAATTCCTGCCTCTCAGCCACCACCGTTCTATTTTAAGTATTGCTATTCGAAAACCTAAAGACAGTTTATAACATTCTATTTATTTTTCTCTTTTAAAAAAAACCTTGCAAAAATCTTTTGCTTCCTACATTGCAGACTTTCACAGTAACATGCCTGACTGAAGGTTTATTTTCACTCATTCTAAGAGTTACCCCATGGGCTCTCTTCATCCCTTTTGGGTATGGATATTGTCTTAAATTATTAATTTTGTAGTTCCCTAGTTCCCATTTCCTCTGTGCTTTCTTGGGGGGAGGTAGGTACAAACATTCTAGGGGACACACATGTGGCCATCAAAGGACAACTTATGGATGGTTCTCTCTTTCCATTATGTGGATCCCAGGGTTTGAACTTAGATAGCATGACTTGGTGGCAAGCACCCTTACCTCCTGGGTCATCTCACTGACCCTCTGCTTTCTGAAACTCCTACTAATCAAATAATAGGTCTCTTGGATTGAAAATCATTTTTTTCTTCCTGTTGACCATCTCCTTGTAGCTTCCACCCACTTTCTCAGAGTTTTCTTCAATAATTATTTAGGTTTTAATTTCTGCTCTCAGCTTGTGGGTTGAAAGCTCTTTCTACTCTCTACCATGTTTTATACATTCCATATAATTATGTGCCATAGACATCCATGATTATGTCTGTGAATTCATTCCACAATCTAACAGTTTCTTCCCACTTCCTTTCACTATGTTTTATGTCATATTTCCACTTGTGTACGTTGTTTGTTTGTTTGTTTGTTTGTGTGTTTGCACTGCTCAGGGTCAAAGCCCAGGCAGTAAGGCCCCTGGCTTGCCCTTGCGACCACCCTACATTCCTCCTTTCTCTTGTCTCCAGTTGTTCTTCTGTGGTTGTCTGATTCTGTCTTTCTTTCCAACTAGGAGCATTCTTCAGTTTTAGGCATCCTAACCTGACTGCACAGGGCAAGGAGTGTGACATTTGAAGGCTGACAGGAAGCTACTTCCGTGGTCCCCACCTCACTGTGGATTCTCTTCAGACTAAGAAAAATCCCCACAGCTTTCCATCCTCTCATTCCCCCTCCTTTTGGAACTGCTACACGCCATTCCCAGCCTACATCATAACCCGGGGATCCCAGCAGTGAACCCTGGGCAGGGGTAGCATTACTAGCCTGTCAGCCAGCAGCCTCCCTCTGCCTGTGGGAGGCAGTCTTGGAAACTGGAGGGAAGGTGAGGAGCCTGACTCCAAACCACCACCTGGAGTGTATCTGCCTAAGGATGGAGCAAGGGCAAGAAGAACCTCTGTCCTCTGGAACCTTCATGCATGCAGGCTTGTTACAGTTGCACTAATCTGAGCAAATAAGCAAGGGTAGTTAGTACATCAAACATTAACAGTCGAGCTGCTGGGGACCTGTGCTTCTTCACAAGACAGAGGGCTAGGGACTGGCTTTACATTTTTGTCTGAATCAACTGGAAAAAAAATTGAAGCAACTTCCCTTTAGATCTCAGACAACTAGGAGGTAGAAGAAGGCTAGATCTCTGTGAGTTCAAGGCCAGCCTGATCTACATAGTTGAGTTCCAGGGCTACTAAGTGAGATCCTGTTTCATCTAGAAAAAAAAAAAATAAAGCCCCCAAACAAAAACAAAACCCCCTTCTTTTATCTGAAGAGGAGATACTTGAGGCCAGGTATAGTGGTGCACACCTTTAAGCCCAACACTTGGGAGGCAGAGGAAGAGGCAGACAGATCTCTATGAGATCTGTTTGGTCTACATAGTGAGTTCCAGGATAACCAGAGCTACATAGTCAGAACCTGTTCGGAAAAACAAAACAAAACAAAAGACCTCAGAAAACAAGTGCCAACTTCAGCAAATCACCAGGGTTCCAGGCATCCCGAACCCTTGCTGAGGAAACACAAGATACAGCTTAGAACTAAAAAAATAATTTTTTAAAAAAGCACTGACTCCCCCAAAGTCCCCTCTTTTTGTCCTCTATGTCTCTCCCCATTGGAGACCCTTTCGGGCCACCCTCACCAAATGACTATTCTGCCTGTCCCTCCTGGGCGCTACACGGTGCTCAAGCCTATACCAGACCCTCGGACCTTCAGCACCAGGCTGTCTCCAGGTCAGGCCACACCCCCAACAGTCTGGACACGCCGGTTTTCTTTAGGGCTGCAGGTGGGAAGAGACTAGGCAGGTGCACAGTCTCTTCACTTCAAACGGGGAAGTGTCTGGTATGTGTCCCAAAGACTAAGCTGAGACAGCTGCTCCAGGGTTTAAAGGCAAAACCGTCTCCCGCCGCGCTTCCTGCGTGATTACATGAGGAGTGGGGCCGTGCAAGAGGGCGTAGATGAGACAGAGCAGCCTCAGTTCGATGGCAGGGCCCGACTTTTCCAGCTTCCCCTCCTTGGTGACCTGCTGGCAGGCTCTGCAGGCCGTGGCTCCTGGCTGAGAGCACATGAATAAGCTGGGACCGTTGCTCTCTGCGGGCGGTTGGCTGGGCGGTGCCAGTAGACCGAGAGGTGGGCAGTCTTAGGGGCGGGATTTGGAGGCGGGAGGGTCGGGCTAAGGAGATGGGCGGGGTCTGGAGGTGGACCTTGCGGTGGGCGGGGCTACAGGTGGGCGGTCCTACACGACCAGGTCTGTCAGTCGGCGAGCCTCTGGCTCTGCAGAGGAAGATGGCGCCGCAAAGAGAGAGCGTCCCTATGCTGCCTCGGCTCCAGCTGTTGGCGTTGCTGTTCCTGCCGCTGCTGCTCGTACCCCAGCCCATCGCCGGCCATGGCGGCAAGTACTCCCGGGAGAAGAACGAGCCCGAGATGGCCGCCAAGCGCGAGCCCGGGGAGGAGTTCCGAATGGAGAAGCTGAACCAGCTGTGGGAGAAGGCCCAGCGGGTGAGTGGGGCCGGGGAGATGCAAGGGGCTGAGGGTGAGGAGCTGCTTGTGAGCAAAGGAGAGCCGGCCCCTGGTCAAGAGTCCGGCTTGGCCTCTAGATTGGGGACAGCCTACACCTTGTACTGCCTCCCCTAAGTGTCAGGTAGGCCACCGTGACCTCGCAAGAAGGAGACCCAAAGGCCCAGGAGGAACTTGGTGCTGGCCTTGGGGGGGGGAGGGGGTTGTGTTGCCTTTAGTGACCCCAAATGAGTAATGCCTACCCTGCTTCCTAGCTGTGCACACTAAATCACTCTGTCCAGAAAGCCAATTTTCCAAAGAGTCAGTTATTCAGATGGAGGTAATCAGGTGTTTTCTGCATGGGGTCTGGCTTACAAGCCTTTTCTTTTATCTGTATTTCCCTTTATGGAAAGAAGAAAAGCAGATGACCTAAGATGTGACAGTCTCAGTTGCTAGGGGAGCTGGTTAATTTGGCTGAAGCTTTTCCCTAGGGGGTGGGGGGCGGTGACACTACTCAGTGGGTA